TTGACAGTCCCTTACATGGATGATAGAGAAAAGGGCCCCCAGAAAAAGGGCTGTAAGCTCAATCATGTCAGTACATAACAACAAAAAGGTTAAATTGTGTCATCTGGACCAGTTTCTTTAGTGAGAAATTGATTGAGCTTACAAACCTTTTTCTGTACGTACCACTTTGGCCTTGGTTGTCCTCAGGCCATTTCTGTGAGCAGCAGGTTGGACATCTGGCCCAAAACATTTGATTGCTGTACATGTTGATTGATTGTTTTGGATGGGTGTGTTTTACACGTGTTAAATGTCTACTTCAGAGATTCCAACAGGAGATTGTCTTGAAACACGGCAGTGAAGGCTACCTATGGGACAGACCTGCGTGGCAGGCCATAGACTGAGGAAGTTCTCTGGATGGGGGATGAAATGTTTCCCACTTAAAGAAGCTGGTCCAGATGACATGATTTCACCTTTTTGTTGTTGGCCGTCAGTAAGCTGCTGTCCATCATGGACAATGCTGACCATCCTCTGCCCATCTGTCTTTTGTCCTCTGTCCTCTTCCCTGTGTCCTCTGTCCTGTCTTCTGTCCTCTGCTATCTGTCCTGTCCTCTGTCATTTGTTGAGTCCTCTGCCATGTGTCCTCTCTCCTGTCTCTTTCAGTTTAAAATTCATAAACTACAAAGTAATATTTGTCTTTACTTGGATGAAGGCAAACCTTAATCCTGAACCTGCAGCTGATCCAACAGGAAACAGAAATCTTTCAGCTTCTGTTAAACTTCCTGTGATTTCAGCAACTGAAAGTTTTCAGTCCTCTGTGAGAGACATCCTCACAGCTGCTTCCTGTCTCACAGTCTGTTTGGAGAGTTCTGGGTTTGACGGGTCATCTGTGTGGTTCTGTTTTCAGGGAGGAGCTCCGTCTGGGCCCCGGTCGACCCTGCACCTCCTACAAGCGTGGCTCTGTGAGTAACGGCCCCGTGGGGCGCCGGCCCACCCTCATCGAACCCGAGCGCCTCAAGGACTTTGGAGAAGAGGACCTTCTCAACGGGGACGTGAAGGTCCACCAAACCAAGGTGGTGGACACTCCTGACATCAGGCTGCTGGACCCGCCCAAAACCAGACGGGTCAGTGAGTTCCGGATCGTCCCCAGACCTCCGGCTCAGTACCTGCGCTTCGAGGACATCAGCGCTGCGGCGTTCAGAATCCAGGCGGGGATCCAGAAGACCCCGTGCACGGTACGCCAGCTGGGGGGGGTCTGATGAGGTCTGTGACCTCTGACCTTTGACCTCTGACCTGGAGCTCCCAGAGATGTCTGAAGTTCAAAACTGTATTAGTAAAAAGTAATAAATAACAAATAATAAATGTGTTTTTGAAGATTTCTGTAAAATCAACCGACACAATTCCAAAACACAGTTTTCATTTTTTGACGTTCTGCTGCAGCAAAAAGGAAAAATTTAAAATGTCATAGTTTTGGTCAGAAATAAAACTAGAGATTTTGTGTTTTTAAATATTGAAGATATACATATATATATAACCCTAAACCAGGTCTGGTTCTGTTCTGGACCAGACCGCATTAAAACCAGGTCCGGTTCTGTTCTGGACCAGACCGCATTAAAACCAGGTCCGGTTCTGTTCTGGACCAGACCGCATTAAAACCAGGTCCGGTTCTGTTCTGGACCAGACCGCATTAAA